CCGCCATCGCCGCCGCCTTGTAACGGGGACGACTGCAAACCGCCATCACCGCCATCGCCTCCGACTCCGCGTCCTTGCAATGGTAGCGACTGCGAACCGCCATCGCCGCCTCCTTGTAACGGGGACGACTGCAAACCGCCATCACCGCCATCGCCTCCKACTCCGCCTGCTTGCAATGGCAGCAGTTGCGCAGGATCCTGCGGGAGTCCGCTGAAGGACTGCGATTTCTACTTCTATGGTCACGAGAAAGATGTCCCGACCGTCAAGCTCATTCGCAAGGGCGACAACAATATATACGTTCAGTGCGGTCACATTCTGCACCGGGATGGGTGAGTCAGTTTCTCTGTCCCCTACTCCACTAAATGCGTGCGCACACTGGGTGACGTTTCCATGTCGCTATCGACGTGATTGCGCTTATGTACATCCAGGAGACTAAGAGAAGTTTGAAAGTTGTTTTTTTGCCTTCTTTTTTTGTATGTTTATTAAGTTACGTTACCTTTCCTTTTCCGTCGTACTCTCCTTTTCATTGCTTCTTTTCGCGCTGTTTCTTTCCTTCGTCTCTATTTTTTTTTTGCGTTTCCATGCTTTGGGCGGTTCGTTTCCTCCTGTCGTTTCGTTCCTTTCTCTCTTGCTTGGGTTAATTGCAAAAATATTGCTTTCTCGAGGCTTGGCAGCAAAAAAATTGTCCGTTCGAAGTTGCCTTTACAAAAATAGAGATTTCGTTGCAGCGTTACCGGGTTCCCATAGTTTGCCAGCAAAAAAAAAAAATCCTGCGTTTTGCCAAGTTTCACAGCGAAGGACCCCAAGGCTTCTGGCCTCAGGGACTCAGCCTTCTGGCCTCAGGTACTCAGCATCGAGAAGCTTTTTTTTTTTTTAACTCGTGCGTGCCCATGGACGAGATGCCTCGGCCACGCCCGTGGGGAAAAAAAACAATTGAAAAAAACGTTGGAAAAACAAAATGATGCATCCCTGAGTCCCTGAGTACCTGAGGCCAGAACGCTGAGTCCCTGAGTACCCGAGGCCAGAGTCCTGGGGGTCATTTGCTGTGAAACTTGGCAAAACGCTGTGTTTCACTTTTGCTGGCAAACTATGGGAACCCGGTATCGCTGCAACGAAAACTCTATTTTTTGCAAAGAAACCTGGAGAAAGCAATCTTTTTTGCAATTAACCCTTCTCTTTCTTTCTTTCTTCTCTATTAGCATTGGATGCACAGCGAAAACGAGAACGATGGTTACGGAGGCCAAATCAGTACCATCTCCATCCTCCTTGTCGTCGCCGAGCCCACTGTCTCGAGGCTGGTCCCGATTGCAGTCCTGTAATTTGTGTTCAGATTCATCCCTGATGGTTTTCAAATTGTCGTCGGATTCATCCGTGGTAGTTTTGAAATCGTGGTCAGATTAATCTGTCCTGCATATTCTAATTTCTTTCTCGACTTCAACGAGCACCGCAGATTTGAGCACAGGGTCTGCTCTCTTTCTTCATTACCGAAGGCCGCGGTGTTCGTTGAAGGCGAATGAAGCTCCAGACCCGAGGGCACAAATTGTCTGTAACAGCGTAATCACACTGAGCATAATCAAACATTTGGGCTTGGACTTTCTGGAGTAGCCCTGGATGTGATTGCGGTCAGATGCATTTGGGCTTGGACGTAATTGCAGTCAGACACATTTACGAAAGTGCTACCCTTTTCAACCGAGTCGAACGAACGCCCGATCATTATAGTCGTATCTGGTGAAACTTTCACTTCGGATACAGCAGTGATTGCTTGCTTGCTTGCTTGATTGATTGATTGAGTGCGCGAGTGAGTGATTGATTCGTTCTCTGATGAAAATAATGCGCCTCAGCAGCGTTTTCGAGCCCCGACCCACCAGATGCGCACCATTGCACTCTTCTTTTTCTTTTTTTTATCTTCAGCAGGTTGATGTTTGGATTGAATCCCTTCCCTTGTCAGCAGAAATAATTACCACCCATGAGCCTAACTAAATGCGTACAGCCATGAACACTTGAAATGTAGACTGAACTTTGAATCCAAATGGCGAGTAACACTGATGGTATCTTTTATTTATTTATTTTGGGTTTTTGGACCGATTCTCGAATTATCCGTGTCATCCTTACGCAGGCGGGGCATGCTAATGTTCTCTGTATCGTTCCAATTTTAACGGATGTCCTGAAGGAAGGCTGTTGGTATCGCGAGACCGTCGCCTTTTTCTTAAAAAAACAAAAAATTACAAAATACGAAATTACCGTGTTTCCCCGAGCATAACGCACCCTGATTAAGAACGTTTACTCGCTGTCTTTTCCGCGGTCATGATGAGGGTGCGTTGTGTTGGGGACGGACTGTGTTTTGGTGCATGTTAATGTGTGGTTGCTTCTTGATTCGGATCTTGTCAATGGGAATCGCTATGCTGCGGTTAGTTCGTCGTGGGTTCAGGGATCGAGTCCCATCGACCCAGCGGATGCTTCGCTTGGTTATGGTGAGCGATACGAGTGTAGTTGATTCTTTCGATTTACGGTAATTTTAAGGGGGGAAAGAAAGGTAAAACTAGTGCGCAGTCACGGTTTGAGTTTCAAAATGCATTCCCGGCATGCCGCTGAGAATGCTGAATGTATACAAGCTAGCTTCAGGATCCGGTGGGGGTGTGGTGTGTTTTAGCGATGCCTAAAATGTATTTTGAAACCGTTTGCGTAACTGTGCCCTAATTCTTCTGATTCGGATCCGAGGCCAATCGGAATCGCTCTGCTTCTGACTGTTCAACTGACAACGACAAATGACCAAAAACGTTGTGTGCAGGTACGACACCCGGCCAGTGCAGACTGTGAACTCGGCCCACTGCGAGCTGCTCAAGGGCGGGAGCTGGGACAAAGAAGCGTGCCATCATCGGCTGTACGGCAACGGCAGGCACGTCGCCTCTCGCGAGTTCAACGTGGGCAATCCGGGCGACTTCCTGAACGCGTGCATCAAGGTCCAGATCAGCGCGGCACAGTACGAGGACGGGGGCAACTTCAACAACGGTCACAGCAACCCCAGGGCCTGCATCCTCGTAAAGACCGAGGGAGCCTTCCAGTAAATAGCTTTTCAGTTTACCTTAAAGTTTTGTGTACATAGACTATTTATGTAGTGATACAAGTTATAAACAATTTTTGATGAGCTTGATGACAGTCCATACGAAGCAGAGGAACCCCAGAGAGGGTAACAGCAGTAGCGCATTTACTAAAACACACACAGGCACATACAAACACACGCACACACACACACATACCTCTCTCCTGATGAGTCGGTGAAAGCGCGACGAAAGTCTGGCACTGTCTTTGCTTTTTTTGTGGAATTGCGTACCGCGAATAAGATCACACACGCGCACACACACACACACACACACACACACACACACACACACACACACACACACACACACACACACACACACACACACACACAGTGGTAGCAAGATACACACGCAGATGCACAACACACGGGATAGAGAGGCAGACACGAATAGACACATTGGGCAGCGCAAGTGACAACGAATTGCATGGTAATAGTAGGCCCAGGTTCAACGAACGGATCCTTCGATGTGACGTTGGGATGCCTCGAGTCCTTGCTCGGCTCATGAAGCCTCTAGTGTAATTTACATAAAACAATATAGAAACGAATTTTAGGTTCCTCGATAACGTGGAAAAAGCTGTAGATAGTGTCTGATTGACGTCCATAGCCAACTCTATTTGAATATGCCGATTCTTGGGAAGAAGCTGGGGAAGAAGCTGTCCGATCTGTGTTCCTTGCTTTTCGTACATACCAACGATGACTACGGTTCCGCATGGACATCAGTACTGTTTTTTTTTTGAGGTATCGAACCCAGCTCTTTCCGCTTAGGGAATAATAGTGTCAAATTACGGCGATACCCTGTATTGGCCCCGAATACCGGTTACACGTTTTGGCCTCGAACTGTGGCAGTGTTCTTTCTTCAACAAAGTTCTCTGGCATCTTCTGTACTGCGGGCGATGACGGACCTCGAGCTTGTTATTTCTGTAGTAGTCTGCCTTTGGAGAGTCTGGGCGAAACGATAGGACTTCAACCAGTGACTCGTCGACTTTCGGTTATCTGCTGGTGACGATAATAAATTGATAATTCCTAGGACTAGACTTCTATCGCAAGTGTCACTCTGGTTTTTGCCCGTACTTTTTGGAGCTTCATTCTTTTTCTTGAGTAAAGTCGTGTTCGGGATGTTACAGCTACCTTGCCTCGGTTTCTCATCATCTTTTCTTTCCCTTTCTTCTTCTTCTTCTTCTTCTTCTTCTTCTTCTTCTTCTTCAGCCTATGCCTGTTATTATGCTTTCTCATTTACTATGCTCTACAACACCCTGGCCTTCAATTCTGCTAAAGAAAGAACAAGCAAAGTATCCCACTTCTCTGTCCCCAATTCTGCTAACACCCCCCCCTCCCCCCCTCCTCGGCTCATCCCTCCCTAATCTCTCCCCCTCCCACGCAGGGTGGTCACGAAAAGCCCACAATGACTCTGCTAACGGAACGAGATAAGGCGACGCCACAGAGGACGATCGAGAAACACAGGCCCAGCCCCCACATTGTAGTGAGCAGTTACGTCAACAGAAGAAGAAGGAAGAACACACTACAGACACCTTTACTGATTAACGAGACTGGGGTGGCAATAGGAGGGGAACATCCGACCGAATGGGGGAAACTCGGACACAGAGGGGAATGATGGATGCATGGAGGGAACTTGAACATGGACAAGGATGAAACGATAACAAACAATCGTATTTGGAAAACCGAAGCACGAGAACCCCATGGAAAGAAGGGGCTCACAGAAAAGAGTTATGAGGGGCAGGGAACAGGCATCGACAGGGGCGGGACTCGTGAATCGAGGGCAGGCCTGAGGAAAACTACAGGCAAAGGCAACGAGTTCGGATGCAAGCTTTGAACACAACATACCGGGGAAATCGCCATCTTTGGAACGGCTACAGCCTACAGCACCGAGGGCCAGCGGCAGATCACACAGTGAAAAGAGAGAAGAACTGTGGGCAAAAGTAGTAAGACCTCCCGGGGCTAGGTCCCACTTACACGAATAAACCGATATTGACCGTAGATGGCAAAGATCAACGGCGGGAATCTCTTAATCCGTGCAAGTGGGACCTTGCCCCCGGCCACGAGACCTTTGTATTCATTTCCCCCCAAACGGGGAAAAAGTTGTCGCAGGCCCCAAAAAAATCACTTTCGGCATCATTTTTGCACCCTGCAAAACACTTTCCCGCCATTTTTACGCAGCGGCCGTTACCGGCCCATCTACGGTGCAAAAATGACACCAAAAGTGATTTTTGACCTGTGGCACTTTTTCCCCGTTTGGGGGGAAATGGATACAAAGGTTTTATGACTTTTCCCAAGAAACCTCGACACCAGTTGAGGACAGGGTAGGGGGCAGAGTTCGCCGGCGAAATGGAGGTGGGGGTGGGAAAAGGACTTCTTGACCCTCTGAAACAGTCGTAATCCTTAGAGTCTCTTTATACCCTGATCGGCTCCTTGAAAGGACCATGATGTCAGCTATGGCTGGTGCTACCTGTGATGTTGAACCCTGCTAAGGATGCTGGTGCTACCTGTGATGTTGAACCCTGCTAAGGATGCGTATTCAATTTGGGTGCAAGCTCTCTCACAATCAAAGGGAAGGACTGCACATACCTGGATCGGGAAAGACTGAGGGAGTGGGAATGGGTGTAAACAGGGAAGGATAGACCGTTGATCTGGAAACTCCTGCGAAATGGCGGGGCCAGGAAGGGAGGGACTTCACCGACAAGGAGGGTCATGGGAAGGATGGGGGCCTCAGAGCAGACAGCGATGGCCATAGCCACCCCAGAAGCTGAGGGAAGTTAATAAATGGTATTGGCATCCCTGGATACCGGGAGCAGTCTCAATGAAAGGGAGGGGCTGCACAGTCCTGGATTCTGGACAGGTGGAGGGGGTTAATATCAGGGATACTTGGAAAAGGAGGTGGTCAAGAACCACTGACCTCCAGGAAGGAAGAGGAGCTCTACTATAGCAAGGGTAATACCTGCAGCCCTGTGGGAAAGAGGAGAGCTTCAAACCAGACAGACAAAGGCTGCCGCAGTCTGTTCCCCTGGGAACAGACGGGAACTAATAACATGGTATTCACACACACGCATCGACTTTAAGGGAGGCTGGACCTGATTTCCAGCAGCAGGTGTCACTCCCCACCAATAGATGGAGCAGCCTCACAGCCAAGCCCTCAATCCTGGAAGTTCTCTCACGGTCTCACCACTGCCGGGATAGTGGGCTTGCAACAAGGCTTTCTTTTTTGGGAAATGTTTCGAAATGCCCCTGAAGTTTGCGTTTATTTGCATTTTACCCCTCCAACGGCCAACTTACCCTGATTTGCCCCTGGGGCCTCTGAACTTCCATGCAGGCCCCCGTCAGTGAGGGGTGCAACTTTTCGGAATGCGGGTCCCATTTCCTGTGGTGGCTGTTCGAATTGCCCTTTTGCCATGGATGCATCTTCCTGGGATGCCCTCCAGCGGGGAGGCCCTAAGAATTCCAATTAAAACTCCTTGCTTTACCAAAAACAGCACTCCACTCCACTCAGTCTGTGTTATGTGTCTGTCTGCACTCCGCCCGCCTGGGGCTCCCCAACCCTGCACCCCCTCCTCTCTCTCTCTCTCTCTCTCTCTCTCTCTCTCTCTCTCTCTCTCTCTGTGTGTGTGTGTGTGTGTGAGAAAGCTGTGGAGCTAGGAGGGTAATGTACAGCCGAGAACATACCATTAGAGATGGCAGGAGTTGGCTTGAAGTAGCAAGGAAAGTTCCTGAGTGTGTCATTAGGCATCAGTACCTGTGGCATCGTCGTGTTCACGCTGTGTTTTGTTTTTTGGGAAAACTAGGGCGCAGTCATGGTTTTCAGATGCACAGTACCGGCAGGGGTATCTTGAATATCTTGAAAATTCTTGTGCCGGACACAACGGCTTTCCAGTGGGGGCATACTGGAAATTTGGCACCAGTACCGATAGGGGCATATTGAACATATTTCAGGCCCAAACGACGCCAGGGTTCTTTTGGAAACTTGAATAGTTGTCAGAGGTGTCAGAGGGGCAAATCAGGGTAGGTTGGCCATTGGAGGGGCAAGATGCAAATAAATGCAAACTTCAGGGGCATTTCGAAAATTTTCCCTTCTTTTTTTTGTTTAAAAAAGAACAAGAGAAAACTAGGGCGCTGTCAGGGTTACAGTTTGAAAATACATTTCAAACTGCCGTTTTGGAGTCCAGTCCACTCTCAAGTTTACACCTGCAGTCCAAACTCCGCCGTCGCGTGGCTGTCGCAGGGGCAGAGTTTGTAACTGCAGTCCAGTCATCCACGTCGGAGGGCCAGGCCGTTTTCCGGAAAAGAAAAGAAGAAACAAGAAGGAAAAAAAAAAAAAAGATAGTGGCCCTGTATCTTTCCATGCTCGACCCAAAGATTCACTCTCGGTTTCTAAGACTGATCTCCAAATGTGCAAAACGAGAGTGAATCTTCCCCAGAACATGGAAAGATACAGCTCCATGATTTTTGTCTTCTGTGCAACGGGAATACAGGGGCCAAAAACGCAGAGGCCCTAGGGGAGACACGTGCTGACAAAAACCCCGTTTCTTTTCTTTTTTTTTTTTTCTTTTTTTTTCTTTCTCAGATTTCTCGACCTATGCGTGTCATCCTTGGGGCCTCGTTGTAGCGGAAGATTCACTCTCGTTTTGAACGGCTCCACTACTCTCGAAATGTGCAAAACGAGAGAGAATCTTCCTGTAGAACATGGAAAGATACAGCGCCCTTGATTTCTGTCCGTTGTGCATGTCAAGAATAGTGGAGCAAGGCCACCGCTTTTTTTTTTTTTTTCGGTTCCTATAAATCTAGGCTCCGTCGCGTGGCTGGCCACGGCCTCCATGCCTCGGCCACATCTGAGGTAAAAAAAAAAAANAAAAAAAAAAAAAAAAAAAAGAGAGCATCTCGTCGCGTGGCTCGGCGACGGGCGCGATGCCTCGGCCACGGCCGAAAAAAAAAAAAGAAAAAAAAAGAGGAGGCCACATGGCGGACTGGACTGCAGTTGCAAACTGGGCATTGCGACTTTTATGCTGTGAAGTGTTCCGACTGCAGTTGAAACTTGGGATGGTACTGGACTGCAACAGGCAGTTCCAAATGCATTTACAAACTGCTTTCGTGACTGCGCCCTAGTTACCCCAATAAAATGAAAGTCGATTTTTTACTTGTTTCGTTTGAGCCTATTATTGCAGTGAGGCCGGGGGCGATGTCCCACTGGCAAAGAAGATTGGGTTTCATGCCTGAATCTGGACTCGTTCAAGGAGAGGTGCAGAAGATGGCTATCCTGATCTTGCTTTTCTGCAAGCCGTCAGATGCTCACATTGGATGGCGACCAACTCTAAACTCTAAAACTCTTCGAGTGGTAAAACTGTGGGCTTAAGTAACCCAATATATGCTTTTCCGTAGGTTCTATCTACCAATTATCCCTCCTTCGCCATGTTGCTGAGTGGTGCTGAGTTGGTCATCGCCCTATTGCTGAGTAGTGCTGAGTGATGGGCTGAGTTCCTTGATTCTTTCCCAAACCTGTCCCATCACTTTTTTTTATTTTTTATTTTTTATTATTATTATTATAATATCGTATGGTCCGATGGACCACGGATCAGAACAGATACTACACTTGATCTTAGCGAAAAGGCCCATCACTTTTCATTTCTAAATACCTCACTTCTTTTTTTATTATACTAAGCTAGATTCTTGTCTCGATTTCAAGTTACTCTACCTTACCTACTACTTTTTGTAATAGCAGGGACAACCGTGCTCAAGTGAACAACCGTGTTCACAAGTGTTCACGAGAGAACATGCAAGAGCTGCAGCTGCTGCACCCGACCTGCAAATGGGCAATATCGGACAGGGGACAGCCGGTGGCATCAGGGACCATGCCAACAGGACCAATCCCTGTGCCTCCCCTCAGGTGGTGGTCCCCCCCCACTACGAACATCAGCAGACTCTGCTCAATGCCTATCTGGGGATCCAGTGCTCTATCTCTAGGTGGCTGGCACCAAGTAATTCAGAAAAAGAAAAAAGAGAAGATAGACAGGCAACTACCAG